GCAAAAAAACCCAATAAAAAGCCCATTTTTCTCGCTCTCCTTTCGAAACTCCCAAAAAAAGTGGATTTTTCTTTCCCCACCCCTTTGTTCACTCCCACGAGACCCTGGGCCAGGGCTGCTCCCCCCGGGGGCTCCTCCTGGGCCCCCCCCAACTTGGCCGATGAGTTTTCCTCCCAAATTCCTTTTTGAACAATCCTTCCCAAATACAAACGAGTCAAAAAAAACCACCAGATTATTCCTGAGGGCTTTGTTTTGTTGGGTTTTTTTTCCCCCAAAACAGCCCTAAGGATTAAATTGGGGGACTGAGAGGGGTCCCTATGGATGCTGTGGGGCCCCCCAGTTCCATCGCCCCGTGGGGATGAGCCAGCGCCTCCCTCCAGCTGGAACAAAGCGCCTTGCAAGGGAAAAAAGGGCTTTTTAACCCAAAAAATTAAGGAATTTTCGGTTTGCAGTGGGAGGGGGGGCCTCTCCTGTGCCCCCCTCCTGGAGGAAATAGCTCACATTTTCTCTGGGATTAGGGGTTTGGCTGGGGTGGGCCCCCAATCCCGAGGCTCCGGAGGAAGCAGGTCCCGACTCCGGTTCGGTTTGTCAGGATTTGGGGGATGCTGGAGGGGGGACATTGGGATTTTCGGCTGGAGAGGGACAAGCTCCAGGCGGGGAGCTGGGGAGGGAAAGGATGGATTTAATCAGCTGGATTTAGTTGGAATGAAAAAAAATACTCTTCCCAAAATGGAGAGGGAGACCTGGCCGGGAAGCACTGGCCCCGGGGGTGCCCCAAAACCGGCCCCAGGGAGCCTCAGTGCTTCTCACCTCCAGCATTCCAGAGGGTTTGGGGATCCCTGGAGCACAAAGAGGGATCGTGGGGGGATTGTGCCATTCCCCTTCCCCCAGCAAAGCCCCGGGACGATCCCAAAACCCCCTGAAACATCCCAGTCCTGCGGTGTGGGCGAGGAAGGAGCCGAAGGGGTTAAGGCAGTGCCTCTCCAGCACATTTTGGAAAGGAAAAACTCTTTGGATCCGGTTTAATTTTCCAGCGATGACTTGGAAGGGGGAGAGAAGAGGGGGAGAAACTTATCCAGGGCTTTTTTTCCCCCTCCTCTGTGGTTTGGAGAAGCAGTTTAAGGGTCAGGCTGGGCTGGTTGGGACCCCTGTCAGCACCCCCTTGGCACCCCCAGGACACCCCAGCCACCCCTGTCACCCTCCCCCTCCCCCCCTTCTTCAGAGCCTCTGGAAAGGGAATTAAAATGGGGTGATTTTTGCTGTCTTTGTGCTGGTGGTGCCATGGGCAGGACCAGCCTCAGCCAAGGGGGGGGGGGAACCCCCCTGCACCCCTCAATCCCTGCCCTCGTGGTGCCACCTCAGGGGGGTCCCCCTTGCCATGGGGGTCCTGGGCTGTATGCAGCCTGGCACTGGGTGCTTTGGCTTTAGGGTGTTGCCCGTGGGGGTCTCTTATCCAGCTGGAAGGTCCTGCTCCCCAAAAAGCAGCTCCCACCCAAGGCCGCTTTGTTTTCCGGAGGCGAAGCGCGGATCGGGATCACGGGGGACGGGGGGAATGTAAACTCTCCACCCAGGAATGCAGGAGCTGGGAGAGGAGGGGTTTTTTTAAAAGGCTTGGATGTCCCGGCTTTGGAAAACAGAGCTGGGATCTGGGATTGCTCCTGAGCCCCAGGGGTGCTGAGGGCTCTCAGGGCACCCCATGGGCACTGCTGGGACCCACTGGGGGTCCCTGTGCCCCCATCTGGGCCCCACGGGATCCTGCAGTGGAGCTGGAATTGGAGTTGGAATTGGGCCGGATCCTGTGCCATGTGGCCTTTTCCGAATTTCTGAGGGGGTTTTGGAGGTTTTTGGCTCTTGGGGCTGTTTGCAGCCCAAGCAGGGAGGCGCTGGAGGGTGTCTGCAAGCAGCAGTCAGTGCGTGTCCCCTCCATCCCCTGGTCTGTCACCTCAGAGATGGGGCACCCTGGATCAGGCAAACACCAGGGACAGGTCACCCCAAGGATGGATCCCTCTGGGAATGAGTCACCCCAGGGACAACTAACCCTGGGGACAGGTCACCCTGGGAATGGGTGACCCTAAGGATGGGTCACCCCAGGAACAAGTCACCCCTGGGGAGAGATCATCCCAAACCCAACCAACCCCGGGGATGGATAACCCCTGTCCAAGTCACCCTGGGGACAGGTCGCCCAGAGAACGGGTCCCCCCAGTCCCACTAACCCCAAGGAGAGGGGAGAGGGGACAGGGAACAAGGGACAGGGACCTCCTCTCTGCTCAGGGCTGTCCCCAGCCCTCCCAGCCTGGTGATTCCCATCCTCCTCTTCCCTTTTTAATCCAAGTGAAGAGGCAGCAAACGCCGGTGGCGGGTGGGGCCGTGTCCCCGCCCGGCCGTGCTGGGGGTCCTTTGATGTCCCCTAATGAGCCCCGCTCTGTTTTCACAGCTGCCAGAGCCGCGGGGGTCAATTAAAGCGCAAACGCCGCCCGCCCGGCCCCAGAGCACCCGCAACTCATCACACCAGTGCCACCAGTGCCACCAGTGCCACCAGTGCCACCAGTGCCCGCGGGGCTCGTGCTGGTGCGGATGGGGACAGAGGGGGACCCCAGGAGCAGCCACGGTCGGGTCAGCCGCGAGGTGCTGGTCCCAGCACAGAGGCAGCCCGGGGGTGAAACCAGTGCAGGGAAGGGAGTGCTAGAGAAGGAACTGGTCTTACTGGGAGAAGGATGGATCGTGGTGTGTCCCAAGCACTGGTTGTTCCAGTGCTCCTGTCCCGCAGTCCATAGTCACTCCTGTTGCTTGCCACTGGCTTTCCTATCCTCTGGACCATGGGCTGCCCTGACCACGAGCTCTCCTGTCCCCATATCCGTGGCCTGTCCTGTCCCTCATCCCCCAGGTACCCTGTCCCTTTGTCTGTCCTGTCCTTCATGCCCCAGGGACCCTGTCTCCTGGGATTGTCCTGTCCCGTGTCCCCAGGGACCCACCCTGTCCCCCACTCAGCTCTGTCCCCATGGCCCCCAGGCTCCCCTGTCCCTGGACTGTCCCATTCTGAGCCCCAGGTGACAATGGGGTCCATCTCCCCTGTCCCTTCCCCTTCCACTGTCCCCTCTTGTCCCGGTCCCCAGCAGTGTCATGGGGGGTGGCAGAGGGAGGTGATGGGGAGCAGAGAGGTGACAAGGGACATCTCGTTGTGGTGTCCCCATGATCATTTGGCATGACAGGTCCCCGGGCCTCGTGGGGACATCCCTGGCAGTCCCCAGCCTGCTCCTGCCTCCGTGTGCCTTCGCCTCCAGGGCGATGGAGCTATCAGGGACCTGAGGCCACGGGGCCCAGCACCCAAAGGTGGCAGCGGGCCCCCCGGGTGCCCCCGGCCCCCCCAGCCCCGGGGCGGGCGCTGGAGCGGGATCTGGCCGCGGCCGAGGCCGAGCCCTGGCCAGGCGCCAGCGGGGACAGGCGGCCGTCGGCTAAATTGGGCTCCGGCCGCGCTGCTCTTAAAGGAGCCGGAGCTGCCGGGAAGCGGGAGGGGCCCCGGCGGCTCGGGGGTCCCTCAGGGGGCTGCGGCTCCCAAGGCAGGTGGAGGATCCTGTCCCCATCCCGCCATCCCACCCTGGTGCCGCGGGATGGGAGTGGGATCCATCCCCATCCCTCTGCCCCCTGGAGCTGTGCGGGACCCCGGCTCCACCCGAAGGGTGGGGGAGTGGGGAATGCGGGGCCACTTCTGCATCTTGGTGTTCTCCTGGAGAGCTTGGGATGAGTGGGTGTGATGATCTGTGTCATTCCCGGTGTCCTCCATTGGAAATACGGGACACACAGGTGTGGGAATCTCCATCTTAGCACCCCTCCTGGAAAATAACGATGGATGGATATAGGATGGGTGGGCATGGGACCAATCTCCATCCTGGGGCACCTCCTGGAGAACGTGGGATGGGTGAGAGTGGGATCCCACCATCCTCCAGTGCCCTCCAGAGAGCATAGGGGGAACAGGCAAGGGATGGATGGACACGGATGGGTGGATGGATGGACACAGGATGGAGGGACATAGATGTGCTGGATGGACATGGGGTGTGGGATGAGTAGACATGGATAGGATGGGTGGATATGGGATGGATGGACACAGATGGGATGGATGGACACAGGATGGGTGGACATGGGTGGGATAGATGGACAAGGGATGGATGGACACGGATGGGTGGATGGATGGACACGGGGTGTGGGATGAGTAGACATGGATAGGATGGGTGGATATGGGATGGATGGACACAGATGGGATGGATGGACACTGGATGGGTGGACATGGGTGGGATAGATGGACAAGGGATGGATGGACACGGGATGGATGGACACGGACAGGATGAGTAGACGTGGGATGGATGGACACGGATGGGTGGATGGATGGACACGGGGTGTGGGATGAGTAGACATGGATAGGATGGGTGGA